TCTTGCTTCTATTCTTATCCTTCTAGAGTCAGCACACATCAGTGCTTTTTATTATTATTATAATTAGTTTGACCATATATTTACTCTGCACATAATACTGAGTTGACTCCCTTTTAATTTTTTTTCTAGAAAAAAGCCAAAGATTTTAGTATGGAGTACAAAGTTCTCCCTAGCTCAATACCTGATATTTCTTTGACTTCACCTCCAATTATACTAACTCTTGCCTTCTGCATTCTACATTTATTGGACTCTTTGCTGTCTATTAAACACACTATGTGCTCCATGCTAAGAAAGTATGCACTAATCACTTCCCCAATATTATTAAGATTAATAACCTCATCTCCTTCAGTGATTTGTTCAAGGCATATTCTTACTGGCCCTTAACATTCTATTTAAAATTGCCGTCCATCACTTGCATTCCTAATGTTCCCTATCCTGCTTACTTTTTTTAATATTATATATATTTTTAGTACACTTTAAAAAAAAACTTTTTAAGATGTATTTATTTATGCATACAGAACTGGGGTGCAAGCCAGAGGGCAGGGGCAGTGAAAGGATCCACCAAAGACAGAGTGGTGGGCAGAACACGCAGATAGACGAAGCACACTGCTGAGTGGAGCAGCGGGAGAACCAGGAGAGGTCTGCCATACCATGTGGCAGACCCTCCAGGACCGGGAATTGAACTCACACCGAAGCAGCTACACCAGTATACAGTGCTGTGTCCCAACCCGTTGCACCACCAGGGAGGGCCCTTAGTACACTTTCATGTTTATTATTTTATTATTCATCTACCACTTCTGAATGTAATATTCACAAGGACATAAATCTTTGTTTTGTACTCCAAATATCAGGAACAGTGTCTTAAACATAGGGCACACAAACTATGTATTAAATTTATTAAATAACGAACTCTCTGATGCCAACCAATTTTTATTTATTATTTTATTTGTTATTACATCAGCATATCCTCTATAAGTCCCAATCTTCTAAGTTTGAATTTTGTAATTCATTTTCATATTGGACTGAAATTTGACACTATGTACTGAGATTGGATTTATTTACCCAATGTAAACAAATTATGCTCAGCTATTTGAGATAATGTAGGTACAATTAAAAAATATATAGATACATAATACTTTTATAATGGCATAAATCATTAAAGCCTTAAATTCATTGGGGAAATTTAACTTTTCAGATAGTTTATGGTTTATTTTTAATGTGATGTTAAATGCAAGGAAGCTGATAAACACCAATGTACAATTTTTCTGTTGAAGGGCAAATCAGAAATATTCACCTTGCTATAGTCAATATTTAAAAGGAGGATAAGCTTTTAAAACTATACCAGAAATTACTAAAATTTTCTAGAATATAAGTTTTTTTTTCTTTTAAGATAATATATTACATTTGGAATAACACTTATAGACCCAAGCTTCTGTCTGACTTAGGAGTCTGATTTTAGATTTCTCTACTAGCCTTGCATATAGTTTTCCCTCTTCAGAAACTTTATTACCCTAGAGATGAAGTGACCAAGTGGTGATGCCAGCTTATAAACTGCCCAGGTAGGGCTCACACACAGGGTATCTGGTGTCAAATCTAGTCTAAGAATGGCTACTAATTACCATTTCAGATGAGAACTGTGGTCAGCATTGGAAAGGACTCTTTTTTGAGGCCCACAGAGTCAACATAAAGTATGAAATAAGATCAGAAGACAAGGGGCCAGAAAAAAATCCCTCTAGGGAATGTTATTTATGAAAAATATTCCAAGAAGATTTCTCACAGGAAAAGCAAGGTGAGAGAATTTCATGTTGAGGAGATTCTAAGGAATTAGGGAAATGCAAGAAGCACAAAGTTGATGGGTCATCCAGCTATCCAAGAGTGACCCTCCATGACTGATAGTCAAAACATCTCAGTGTCCACTTTGCATGGAGAAGCAAAGAGGGAAGAAAAAAATCAGACTTTCAAGAAATATAGAAATGAAAGAGAAATTTTATAAGTGATTCTCTTTAGTCTTTTTCAATAGATATAGTTGTCAAACCCCATTTGTTGTATTAGATGATAAAAGGTATAACATGCCAAAGGAAATATTCAAAAGTATATTTACCTTTCTTATGAAATTTACAGCTTAACTCTGAAGACAAGATACATCAACATAAAAAGTGAAAATCACTAACTAGTAAGTGCTGCCACTTTCCAGTTTCCCACCTCTTTATACATTCTTTTAGGATACTTTCTCTATTACTTCTCAGCCTTTTGGCTAAGATAATGTGTAGAACACTTTCTCCAAAACTGTGTCCAAATTCATTGACAGAGGAATGCTGCAGGGACCAAACCCATCTACTCTTGAATAGTTTTTAATAATCAGTTTATCTTACAGCAGGTGAATTTGTGGCTGCTGCAATGCATATTTATTTAATATTTATTGAACAACTATAACCTCTCAAGTGTTCTCTATAACCTTACAAGTATTAGAGAAAGTAGACAAAAATGGTCTTTGTCTTCATGGAATGGATATCACAGTGTCTGAAGGTTGCATCCACTTTCTTCCTACTATGAAAAAAAGGTATTATTTTTAATGATTCCCCTCCAGCGTGGTTCTTAAACCTAGTGTCCACCAGGTTTGGTTGATAAGCACAGCCTTTTCTTTTTTATTATTATTTTTAAAATTTATTTATTTATGCCTACAGAACTGGAATACAGGTCAGAAGTGTGGGGGGTGAGAAGATTCACCAGAATCCGAGTGGGAACCAGAACAGGCAGACGGATGAAGGGAACAGGCAGACTGCTGAGAGGAGCAGTGGGAGGGTCAGGAGAGGTCGGCCACGCCGTGTGGGTCTCCTCCCTGTCCAGGGATTGAACTTGTGCTGCAGTGCCTGTGATATCTTCATGTTGCTGTGCTATAACCTGTTGCAACACCAGGGAGGGCCCAAGCATGGCCTCTTCTATCTCTTTAAATCAGAATCTTGGGAGAGGGATTGAAAAATGTATCTTTTTAAACAACTTCTCTAAAAGCTAATATGCATTCACAGTACAGTTAACTTTGGGGAACCACTGTTTTATTAATAGCATACTACCTGAGGAATTGGTGATTTTCACTGAACTATATCGCTGAGACACATCATGATTGCCAAGGTGATTGATTGCCATGACTAAATGTTACAAACTTCTCATCCTTAGACAATATGAAAGCTCTTCAAGGTTTTCCACAGTCAATTCACCTAAAACGACTGACAAGGCAAACTTTTAAAAGAAGTATACCATTTACTTTAAAGCAAAATTGGTCTATGTGGCAGCTGTTAGCATATTTCCTCTGTGAGGGAGAAATAATAGAATATTAATTACTAATTATCATCCACAGTACCAAGATTGTCATTTTAAGGATAAAATGATGGGGATTAGGAAATGACCTCACCAAAGAAAACAAGAATGGGTAAATGTTAAGAATCTATCATGAGGGGCCCTCCTTGGTGGTGCAATAGGTTATGAAGCTCTCTGAAGCCACTACAGCATGAGTTCGATCCCCAACCTGGAGGTGACCCACATGGTATGACAGACCTCCCTAACCCACCCGAGGCTCCCTCAGCAATGTACTTTGCTAGTCTGCCTGTTATGCTCCCCATTGTGTCTCTGGTGAGTGCTCTCACCCACCACACCTCTGGCTTATACCCCAGTTCTAAAAGCATAAATAAATCTAAAAAAAAGAAAAAATCCATCATGAACAATATAAAAAAGTTATAAAGTAGGTTTTTTGTAAAGTATGAGGACATAAATTTATATGCAATACTAGCAGATACAATAAAGACCATATTATTCATATAGCATATGATTCTCTCTATCAAGATGAATTATTTACTCAAAGTCACATATCTTGTAAGTTGTAACAATTTAAACTCCGATGCAAAATCCCATATCTTAATCACATCTTTACCCTAAAGTGTCCCTCCGTAGTTTTTATAATACTTATTTAGAAGACTCATATCAAGAAATTGATATAAATCTATTTTAGGAAGCAGGAAGTTTTTGATTATAGTTTCCTTTTCCCAATGCCTTAATCAAGCTAATTTTCACTAAAAATACAGTTAAAAGTGTAATTGAAGGAGGATTAACCAGTGGTTAGACTTACAAGAGACCTGTTGTTCTAAACCTCAGTTTTGTCACTTACTTGCTATATGACCTTGAGCAAGTATTTTTGCTTGTCTCAGTTTCTTCATCTTTAAATGAAGGTTATAATGGGAACCACATCATCTATTTTTTTTTTTAAATGGCCCATTGAAAGCACTCAGAAAGTGCTCAATAATTATTATAGGTGTGATAAACACAGAAGCATCAATAAACATAACCAAATGATATCTTGATTTCTCTGCTTGCACTAAAAAAAGTTTATTTCTTTTCTAATTAAAAAAAAAAAAAAGCAGCAATGAAAACAACACACCAAACTACAAGCAATTAAAGTAATGATGTCTTTCATGGGAGAACCCAAAAGGCTACTGGGCACATTAATTCATATGCCACTAGGTATGCCCTCTACTCCAAAACATTTGTGCCATAGCATCCCGAGACACCTTGTATAATATAATCATTGAGACTCCAAGTGATCAAATCACAGGCAGTTAATGCTTCGTTATGGAAAGCTCAATAATTCATCTAACAAATTTCAGTTCAAAGCCTACATTGAGGTTAAGAAAAATTGACATTTGTCCTGTGAACTTAATGTCAAGCTCCAGAAAAATTCTAGGTTGCACATGTTTAGCAATTAAATAGACACAGACAATAAAGACATTGCCAAATTGTAAAACAATTCTTGAAAATTATTTTTTTAAATGTTGCTAGTTATTGATTATGGTGACCATTCAGTTCCTATGGAGCTACCCAAAAGAATCATTCATTTTCCAGCAGAGAGCCTGCTCATTTGCAAGATAAAAGAGAGACATTTCTGCACATGCCCATAATGTTCTTCGCCACTGGGGGCAGCTTTACATAAGACTGCATTCACTGAAACCAAAGCAACAGTCCAAGCAGCTTTCAGAATGACAGTCTGCAGAAGTGAGCTGAGCGTGTGTGCAGTACGGGGCTCTCTTGTCTTCTAAGCTCCAACGCAGCTCTGTGGCTGAACTGGGTGCTCGCCACCAGAAATGCTGGGCTATGGAATACAGATTTGGCAGCTCAGGTAGCCCTGAAGGAATACATCATGCTTTCCGATAAGAAGAAATTGTAGAAGCCAGTTTTTTTTTTTTTAACTCCCCCCTCAAAAAAAAAAAAAAAAAAAAAAAACAACTGTAAAGATGCAAAAACGTAATATCCATGAAGATCCTATTACCTAGGAAGATTTTGATGTTTTGCTGCGAATGCGGTATTGGGATTTATTTGTTCTTGGAGTGTTCTGCGTGGCTGGCAAAGAATAATGTTCCAAAATCGGTCCATCTCCCAAGGGGTCCAATTTTTCTTCCTGGGTGTCAGCGAGCCCTGACTCACTACAGTGCTGCTGACAGGGGCTGTCATGCAAGTGGCCCCCTAAGCCAAAGCAAAAGACCTAAGGACGACCTTTGAACAATACAAAGGATGGGTATGTTTTGTCATTTTTCTTCTTCCTTCTTAAAAAAAAAAATCAAAAACAAACAAACAAAAAGACCTTTAGTCTTTGTATTAATTCTGCTTTAATTATTTTAGAGATTGCCTTGCTCTGCTCTGAGACTATAAATTCAATTGATTAGTGCACACGTTTCCTTGCTTAACTGTTAAAAAAACTAGAGACTATTCTCTTTAAATTATAAGGAGATGCTGTTTGATGTTAAATGTTGTTAGCTAGATTTAATTAAAAAAAGAAAATACATGTTTATTTTTGCTTGATTAAAAATAAATGAATTCTTTTTTGGGGGGATAACTTTTCTAAGTTGTTTTTATTTCCAGGTTTCAATGTAATTAGGCTACTGAGCGGATCAGCTGTAGCACTGGTTATAGCCCCCACTGTCTTACTGACAATGCTTTCTTCTGCTGAACGAGGATGCCCTAAGGGCTGTAGGTGTGAAGGCAAAATGGTATATTGTGAATCTCAGAAATTACAGGAGATACCCTCAAGTATATCTGCTGGTTGCTTAGGTTTATCCCTTCGCTATAACAGCCTCCAGAAACTTAAATATAATCAATTTAAAGGGCTCAACCAGCTCACCTGGCTGTACCTTGACCATAACCATATCAGCAATATTGACGAGAATGCTTTTAATGGAATACGCAGACTCAAAGAGTTGATTCTGAGTTCCAACAGAATCTCCTATTTTCTCAACAATACCTTCAGACCTGTGACCAATTTAAGGAACTTGGACCTATCTTATAATCAGCTGCATTCTCTGGGATCTGAACAGTTTCGGGGTTTGCGGAAGCTGCTGAGTTTACATTTACGGTCGAACTCCCTGAGAACCATCCCTGTGCGAATATTCCAAGACTGCCGCAACCTGGAACTTTTGGACCTGGGATATAACCGGATCCGAAGTTTAGCCAGGAATGTCTTTGCTGGCATGATCAGACTGAAAGAACTTCACCTGGAGCACAATCAATTTTCTAAGCTCAACTTGGCCCTTTTTCCAAGGTTGGTGAGCCTTCAGAACCTTTACTTGCAGTGGAATAAAATCAGTGTCATAGGACAGACCATGTCCTGGACCTGGAGCTCATTACAAAGGCTTGATTTATCAGGTAATGAGATCGAAGCTTTTAGTGGACCGAGTGTTTTCCAGTGTGTCCCAAATCTGCAGCGCCTCAATCTGGATTCCAACAAGCTCACATTTATTGGTCAAGAGATTTTGGATTCTTGGATATCCCTCAATGACATCAGTCTTGCTGGGAATATATGGGAATGCAGCAGAAATATTTGTTCCCTGGTAAACTGGCTGAAAAGTTTTAAAGGTCTGAGGGAGAATACAATCATCTGTGCCAGTCCCAAAGAGCTGCAAGGAGTAAATGTGATCGATGCAGTGAAGAACTACAGCATCTGTGGCAAAAGTACCACGGAGAGGTTTGATCTGGCCAGAGCTCTTCCAAAGCCAACATTTAAGCCCAAACTCCCCAGGCCGAAGCATGAGAGCAAACCCCCACTACCCCCCACGGTGGGAGCCACGGAGCCAGGTCCAGAGACTGATGCTGACACCGAGCACATCTCTTTCCATAAAATCATCGCAGGGAGCGTGGCCCTTTTCCTATCTGTGCTTGTCATCCTGCTCGTTATCTACGTGTCATGGAAGCGGTACCCTGCAAGCATGAAGCAGCTGCAGCAGCGCTCCCTCATGCGAAGGCACAGGAAAAAGAAAAGACAGTCCCTAAAGCAAATGACTCCCAGCACCCAGGAATTTTATGTAGATTATAAACCCACCAACACGGAGACCAGCGAGATGCTGCTGAATGGGACCGGACCGTGCACCTATAACAAATCAGGCTCCAGGGAGTGTGAGGTATGAACCATTGTGATAAAAGCGCTCTTAAAAGCTGGGAAATAGTGGTGCTTTATTGAACTCTGGTGACTATAAAGGGAACGTGGGTGTCTCCCTCCCTTTCCTCTCTCTTTGCTGGCAAGGTCCTTCCCGGGTCTGTTTTTAGTGCATTCATAATACTGGTCATTTTCCTCTCATACATAATCAACCCATTGAAATTAAAATGCCACAATCAATGTGATGCTTGAACCCTGGTTTAATATAATGCCTATTGTATAAGACCCTTTATTGATTCCATTAATGTCACACTTGTTTCAGGATAAAACTTCTTTCATAAGTAAACCCCACATCTGCTGTTATTCTCCTCTGGTAGGACCAAATCTACAGTTAGAGGAGGTTTGCAATGCACTGACAAGTCAAAGAAAAGTGAATGATCTCAGGTACTAGGAGATTAAATTGATTCTAGGAAATGATTTGCTTACAGGGACATTGGGGGGGAAAAAAAAAGCCTTAAAACAATACCTGGCTTGAAACAGAAAATTGCAGGAAATGAGGTTGAAAAGGCTGCAAGCAGACAATCACAAAATGTGAGCTGAGTAAAAATACAAAGTTTTTGATTTGAAGTCTCATCTCTGAACCCTGTTAAATCAGACTAGAGGTTTGATAGTCAATATCTTCTAGCCTCTACCTTTCATAAATAAATACATAAATAGATAAATAAACAAGCAAGCAAGCAAATCAAGAGGCAAATTTGAAGGGGTCAATTTCGCCATTGCTTCTCACCTCAGGGAGTTTTCTTAGGTGAGGCCAGCAAATGGGAAGGCAGCTTGCTATGTGCATGTGGTTGGGAGCATCCAGAATTTCTCCTTCCAGTTCTTTCAAGGACCCTAATGTAGGCAGTGAAATCATTAGCTCTGTTTCATCTTTTATTTGGAATTTGTCAAGCTGCCCTGTTGTGTTCCATCATATGGCCTGCTCCCACTAGTTCCCTGATGACTGACACTTACTTCATTCAGAAGTGTTAAGAGAGGCTTGGGCATGCCTCTTCCAACAGACCCATTGCAAACGATTATTTTGATTGCACCTTGATAAATGTATAAAAGAAATCTGAGAGGGAAAAAAAAAGGCGAAGCTGAAAGCAGTTGTCTGTTGCTTTTCTATTGCTCACACTAAATGTTCCTATGTTGATCTGTATTGTGAACTTACCCATCAATAGGATTGTGAACAGACCCTGTGTGACAAGCTGTTCAGTGCATGCATGTTTTTATGTCATTGGTGAAAGTTTATTGACTGCAGCACAAACACCATAGCCTCTGCATTTAAGTAACTTTGACCACAGTTCATTGAAATTTTAGAAAAATGTCTTTAGTCTGTTCATCCCCCCAAATGAACAGTTCTATTATGGGAGCAACCTTGCGTTTGCTTTATTTCATGTGGCCTGCCAAACCTCACATCTTTAACCATGTTCCCTTTCTTTCCCATGTTCTTTCAAAACAGAATCACTGCAGCAAAAAAGAAAAGTGAATGGCTATTTTAACCAGCATTTTAATGTAGTTTGGAGGCTTTTCATATGCTGAGAGGAAAAAAATCTAGGCAAGTCACCATGAAATGTAATTGCAAGGAAGCCAGGTTATACAAATCAGACTTTTATAAGCAATAAAGAAAAACAAAGTGGATTTCTCAAGGTACTTGGACTTTGATTAAAGCTTAAACAGATGCCAGTTCTGAAAAACAAAAGAGCTGTAATATATTTACCTGTGACTAATTATTGAATATACATTTATTAATGGCAAACAGTCACAGATTCCCACTTGATTAATAATGCAGATACTTCCTTACACTATTATGAACTGGATGACTAAGCCTACTATAATTTTTTCACTGGAGTTGTAATTTTACATTTTTCAAAAAATGTCAGTAAACACATAATCCATATTAAAAAAAGGAATTTTCATCAATCAGCTTTATTTTTACCTGTATTAAAGATGTCTGTATTAATTAAATGCAGTGTTGAAGTGAAAAAGCCCATTTCTATTCTTTGACTTGAGCTCCTGCCTCATTTGTGATGGATACCAAAGAAATTTTACACAAGGCATACTTATATTTACATATTTGAAATCTAGTGAAAATTCTCAATGCTGTGGCCGTGCCAAGATTCAGAAAATGTTTGCTATATTTAAAAGTTTTTCCAAAATTCAAAACTGCTACTTAGTAAGATTAAATGAATGATTAACAGTTTGTAGACTGGTCAAAACCTAATATTTAATGCCTAACTTTACTTTCAAATTTAGTAGTAGGTGGAAAATAATATAAAAAGCATTTATTTTGATTTGGGACTTGAAATTTAAACATAAAAAAGGTCTTTATCCCCTCCGGGAATGAATCTTCTCTAGTTCTCAGCACTTTATGAGCTCAAATATATAATTCTTACAGGTTAATCAATAACTAGCTCACCACTATAAATTTAATAAAGCCAACTGGAGAATGATCTCCTGATCAAAAATTATGGCCTTCACCTCTATATCCATGGTGCTTTCTAGACTACATACCATAAACATATTTTCATATGTATTTCAAACTCATACATTTTAGTAGATATCACTGATTTCTCATTTTCTGGGGCAAATTGACATGAAATATCTGACTTCCCTCAAAGATGGCAATAGTTAAATTAACAGACTGACCTGTTGAACTACACAACAGAGACACATCGATGCAGAACAGATTCAGTCACTACTGTGAATGCCTTACACAAGAGAAAGGAAATGCAGTTTACTCTGATCTGCATGGATTCTTTCCCCCCATTTTTCATGACCCCCAATCCTCATAATCTTACTGCAATATGTAGCTAAATGCCAATGCCAACAGTCTCTTGTGCAATACCTAGATAAAGAGTATTCTTTTAAATGAGTTTATATTGCCAAAGATATTGACATTATATCTTTTGAAAGAATTTAAACCATTTTTACTTGATTTGGTGAGTCAACTGCCTAAGTAGGTAGGCAATAAACTGTATTTCTATGGAGCAGCAGTGACCTCCAGTGGCTTGTTAGACTAACCACAGCTGCTGGCACAGATTTTATTTAGCTTTTTATCCTGAATCCTTATGTAAACTCATTTTACATCAAGTAATTTTTGATCTGTAAATCAAATTTGAATTTTATTTAGTAAATCTTCTCAGGAAATATAATTACAATGTAATTTTTCAAAAGTTGCATTTTGATATTTTTAGTGATGCCATAACAACTGTTACTGAGACCTGGAATTAAACGTCCAAAGATAAATAACAAGTAATAATACTACACAGGCCAGTAAGAAATATTTTAAGGTAATTATGCTCACCAATGTTGGCCAAGTATTCTGCTATCTTTGTTAAGTGGGCTATTTTTTTTTTCATAAACCTTATACTTAAATATAAAGAAATTTAGGTTGGGGACAGCACATTTCTAAATTAATATTGAAAGAATGAGCATCACTTATTCATCAGGCCATAGGAATGCATGAGCTGTCAAGTGAGGGAGGCTTCCTCTTCCGCTTCTAAAACTGCAGTTTGCCCATCACGCCAGTGACCTGCCTGTTGCCCCAATGGTCTCCTCCTCCCACTGCACCCCCCCTCACCCCCTTTCAGCCAGCTGAACACTGGTTCTATTAGGCTCCCTGACAATGAGGTTACAGTCTAAGAGGTGATGATTCATAGGTAATGAAATTATGCTCTCCTTCTGGGGAAGGATAATGCAGAGTCAGATTCATAGATTTGGCAAGGCTTTTAGGATGCTGTAGATGTGTGAAATATCTTCTCTTCCCCTGACATTTACCAAGAAGAGAACTTAAATAGTTTACCGAAGCATGGATTAGGCTAGTATCAGAAACAAGCACCAGGTCATGGAGTCTAAGACAAAACTAGTTCCAAACATGACAAATGAGAATGGAGCCATCAGAAAATAAAAATTCAAGAAATGTGGTACTTGTTCCTGGAGTCCTCTTAGAAACTGGATTTGCAACAAAACCCATGGAGTTTTGCTTTATGGGTGCTCTCTTAGTTATAAACATTAAAAACCACAGACAGAAAGAAGATATAATACACACAAAAATATTATCAATAAATCGGAGTTGCAAAGTATTATAAAAGAAATAGAATAAAAGCTGTATAGCTTGCATTCAATGACACTTGAAACAAATAAAAATAATATCCAAGTGGATATGACTTTTTCCCTAATGTAATCATGACAGAGTATAGAATTGATCCCAAATTTTGCTTAGTATCCCAAATCACTCACGATTTTTTGCATAGCTAGATAAGATAGAAATATAACAGGAAAATATACATTAAAATAGTTGATGATTTTTTTGATGTGAGGAAACTATCACTGTAATGTATAATAGAGTATGGATGCTAATTCCAGCTTTCTAAAACATCTACAGTCAATGATTTCAGGCAAATTATTTAGCATTTTTCAATTTGAATGTCCCCATCTGTAAAACTGGCATGTATTGACTTTAAATGGTTATTGG